CTGCTGCCCCCCCCCACTCCCACCCCCAACTACCCCTCAATTTCTGACTCAGCAGAACCATCCAGAGACAAGGTCATCTCTCTGCTGTTGCTGTGGAGACAGAGTCGGGGGATTTTTCCCTTCCCCTCCTTACATACATGTGGTGTGGTGTGAATGGGGTGAGGGGGTGAGGGGGTGAGGGGGGTGAGGTGTTCTGTGGTCAGTAAGGAGGGACAAACATGGGAGGAATGACAGAGGTTAAGAAAGGATACACGTGGCGGCCATTTTGTTTGGACTGAGATGACGATGGAGTCAGACTCACGGCTGCAGAACTGATCCAGGATCAGATTTGATTTAATGTTTAGTCATTAGATACTGACATGGACCATGTGACCCGACGCACACAGAGACAGGAAGTAGAACTGAGTGGGTTGTCTTTGGTCCAGAAATAACTCGTGTGAATTATTATTATTGTTATTATCATTACTGTTGTTGTTGTTGTTGTTATAAAGTTTAAAGGAAATACATCATGATTCTATTTTTCTAACTTTTTGCTGTATTTTCTTCGTTCACTGTCGTTTCCTCCTGGAGAGTTGATTTGTTTTCTTCTCTTCTCTGATAGTTTGACATTAAGATTCGTCACCAAAACAACAAACGTTCGGCTGCTTTGGTGACAGAGACGGTTGACGTGAACTGTTTCATCACTGTGGTTCAAACACTGACCCGTCGTTGAACAGATGAAGTTCTGTTGGTCACTCTTGGTCCGTGGTTTCACGAACTAATGTCCTGCTGTTCTCAGGCCTGGGGGCGTGGACCCATCATGATCCGTGGCCCACAGTAAAGAGAGTCAACACGGTCCACAGTCTGTAGAACACACACACCACGAGTTTACATGTGTTCTGCATTTTACCCTCAGTGAAAACCTGACCAGGGGCATTTCATGGTATCTCCCAGCTGCCCATGGTCCAGTCACGCTCCCATGGTCCAGTCACGCTCCCATGGTCCAGTCACGCTCCCATGGTCCAGTCACGCTCCCATGGTCCAGTCACGCTCCCATGGTCCAGTCACGCTCCCATGGTCCAGTCACGCTCCCATGGTCCAGTCACGCTCCCATGGTCCAGTCACGCTCCCATGGTCCAGTCACGCTCCCATGGTCCAGTCACGCTCCCATGGTCCAGTCACGCTCCCATGGTCCAGTCACGCTCCCATGGTCCAGTCACGCTCCCATGGTCCAGTCACGCTCCCATGGTCCAGTCACGCTCCCATGGTCCAGTCACGCTCCCATGGTCCAGTCACGCTCCCATGGTCCAGTCACGCTCCCATGGTCCAGTCACGCTCCCATGGTCCAGTCACGCTCCCATGGTCCAGTCACGCTCCCATGGTCCAGTCACGCTCCCATGGTCCAGTCACGCTCCCATGGTCCAGTCACGCTCCCATGGTCCAGTCACGCTCCCATGGTCCAGTCACGCTCCCATGGTCCAGTCACGCTCCCATGGTCCAGTCACGCTCCCATGGTCCAGTCACGCTCCCATGGTCCAGTCACGCTCCCATGGTCCAGTCACGCTCCCATGGTCCAGTCACGCTCCCATGGTCCAGTCACGCAACATGCCAGAACATGGAGTGGTCTTTGGAGAACCTGTCTGTTGTCCAGGTCAGACGTTGGACACAAACCTGTATTTTTCCTGGACCGTGGCCCCTCCCTCATTTATTTGACCCTATATTTGACCTCTAAACACCGAGGTCTGAAACAGCTTCATATTCATCGTGTCCTGGTTTCTGCAGTTTCAGTTTCATTCCCGCTGAAGTCGTCTCTGCTTTTTCACACAGTCAGGTGTGACTCTGTGTTTTTACCTCCGCTCTGGTTAGTTAGCTTCTGCTAACTGCTGCTGAGCATGTACCGCTCATCATCATCATCATCATCATCATCAGCAGCATCATCATCATCATCATCAGCATCAGCCTAAGTGCTGACGCTGCAGTTTTAGAAGCCTACACCTGCTGATGTGGACACTGATGTCCACGGGTGACTGTGATCAGGTGTGACAGGATAAGAATACAAACAGTGTTCACACACACACACACACACACACACACAGACAGAGATCAGAACGTCGTCACTTCTGTCTGCTGCAGCCGGGCCTTCTTCTGGTGAAATGACACACACCAAGCGGCACAAAAAGCCGGTGCATCATGGGTGATGGCGACGTCCGGGTGGTGTTTACCAACAACATCGACTGTTTAATTTAAGACAAGATACATGACACGATGAACAAACACAGTCACGACATGGACAGCCTAACCTTGTGCGATCATTAAAAAAAAAAAATCAGCCGAAAGAATCACAGCGTCGCTCGCTGGCGGCACAGCCTTAGAAAACTGCAGTGAAGCAGGAGGGGCGGCCGCTCGACTGCCATTGGCTGGCTACACCAGCTAAGTCTCAGGGTTCATAGTGATTGGTCAGAGATCACATCAGCGATGAGACGCTCGGGATTCTGATTGGAGGACTACGTCTTAGGGCTGGACTTATTCTCCGGCTCCGGTGGCGGAGTGATGCGGCAGCAGCAGCAGCAGGCGAAGGCGCGGAGGGATACCAGGTTCTGAAGTGGCAGCACTGCGGCCGCTTAGTTCTCCTGCTCTTTCACCGCAGCTGTCAGAGAGCAACGGAAGGAAGCGCTCCCGCGTGATGCTCCGCTTGAGACCAGGACATTTGATTTGAAAGACGTCACAAGCTGCGGCCGAACACTTTCCCAAGGTCTGACTGACAGATTATTTCACAATTTCCTGTTTCCTCAAATATATTTCAGGTCTCCGCCGCCAGAAAAAAAAAAGAGAAAGAGAGAATCTCAGCGTTTCCTCTTGTGTTTCCCAAGGCAGCGTCGTTTTGGTATAATTTACCTGGAGGGGTGACACCTCTCAAGCCGTGCATCACCTGAGAGGAGAACAAGAGCGACTGCGCCAACATGGGGGTAAGAGACCGACGATACAACTTTATTTTACTGCGTTGTTCCGGCGCAGCTGAAGTGGCCTGAGAAGTGACCGAAATAGAGCCCGACATTTAACGTCCGTGTCCGTGACATGGACTCAAATGTGGAGGCAGGTTTTTATTCAGCAGTTCCAGACTGCGACACACCGAGAGGTCGGGGGTTTGAAGCCGTGTGGTTGTAGCCTGTGTGTTCTATCTCCTGATAACACTGATGGGGCGGAGCTGAAGGAGAGAGCGGTCACACTGTCCCACCTGGACCATCACTGGACTTTATGGTGTTGGTATGTTTAACTAGGGCCCCCCCCCCCCCCCCCCCCCAGCCCCCCCGGTCTAGGGCCTCTTCCCCCGGGGGGCTTTTAATAATGAATGAGTTCGGGCTCGAATTTACGAAACAACTACGATATAAGTGGTGGGTGAGGGGGGTGAGGGGGGTGAGGTGAGCCGCTCATTCAGACCGAGGTGTCAGCCGTGTGTGTGTGTGTGTGTGTGTGGGGCCCAGGGCTCAGAGAAGCCTAACTTTGACGGTAACCTTGTCAGCCATGGTTGGACGTAATCGGTTTATTAGCAGTGAGGGAGGAGGGGGGAGGGAGGGGGGGTTGGTGTTCATCCGACAATAACCTGCATTTCAGGAAATGACTCGGATAAACATATAAAAATAATGTGCGGACGAGCTCAGTTTCGTGACCTCCCCCATGCCCTTCCTCCCCCTCTCCCCTCTTTACTCTCCCCTCCTCATCCTCTCCTTCTTCTCCTCTAGAAACTCTTTCCTGCCCCCTCCCCTTTCCTATTTCCTCACCTTTGAGACCACCGACCCCCCCCCCCCTGCCCCCCCGCACCTCCGTGACCCATGCGTCATAATGCGGTTACCGGGAATAAGCGCCTCACCGGCTTATTTCTCCCCCTTTCATTGGTGACATAACAGGGGGGAGACGATAATCGGCACACACCGACAGACCGAACACATGCTGCGTCCTGTCCAGGGGACGGAGCGCCAACTTCTGTGACTGTCATCACGAAAAAAAAACCCCTCCTGAAACAGAGAAAAATATTCCTAAAACCTTTAACTTCAAAGTCATCAGCGGAGGGTGGGGGGTTCGGTACCAGCGGAGGGTGGGGGGTTCGGTACCAGCGGAGGGGGGAGGGTTCGGTACCAGTGGAGGGTTCGGGACCAGCTGAAACCTGCGCCAA